TCGCCTCGACTCCTTAGTCACTCTCTGGATCTATGGCACCATCAGTAAGCAACTGCTCACCATGGTGATCAAAGGAGACTCTACCGCTCGAACTATCTGGCGGTCCCTGGAAAATCTATTCCGCGATAACAAAGACGCACGGGCCATGCAACTTGACACCGATCTCCGCAACATTGTTATCGGTGATCTCTCAGTCACCGACTATTGTCAGAAAATCAAAAATATTTCTGACCTCCTCTCAAACATTGAGCAACCCGTACCGGACCGCAACCTTGTCATGTATCTCGTTAACGGGTTAAACGAGAAATACGACCACATTGYCACGGTTATCCGTCATCAGAAACMCCTTCCCACATTCTTGGAAGCTCGATCGATGTTGCTTTTGGAAGAGTCTCGGCTTGCCCGTTTTCGCCCAATCCATGTTCCTCCTCCGGCTAATYCTACCCCAAGCACCGTTCTCTACTCTTCTGAGTCTTATCAGCGGGGAAACAATACCACACGTGGTGGGCGTGGTGGCCGGCAGCAATCAAACCGCAACAGTCGAGGTGGACGTGGCAGCCGTGGTGGCAGATCCGGCAACCATCAGCAGCGGCAGCAGCCACAATGGGGTCCTCCACCGCCGTGGGCCTCATATCCATGGGCTCCTCCCCCTTGGTGGCCACAAAATCCAGCGGCATGGYATCAACCGAARCAAGCAGCCACCATCTCTCAACAACAAGGGCAGCAACCGGCTCTTCTTGCCACGCCATCCGAGTGGGCTTGGCCCAAACCTGATTCTGCCACGCCAACACAGCTTCCACAAGCTTTCGCTACGATGAACTTAAATGAACCGAACGATGGTTACTGGTTCATGGACACCGGGGCCTCATCACATCTCRCGGCGGATACAGGTAGCCTTACTTCCATTTCTAATAAAAACATTAACTCATCTATCATGGTTGGTGACGGGAACTCCATTCCCGTGGTCAATTCGGGCACTGCTCACATACCTTCCTACATCCGTCCATTACATCTTAACCATGTTCTTGTCAYTCCCAAGATAATTAAAAACCTAATTTCTGTCCGTCGGTTCACCCGGGACAACAAATGTTCCATTGAATTTGATCCTTGTGGCTTTTCTGTGAAGGATCTCAAGACCAAGCACCTGCTCCTCCGATGTGACAGCACCGGTGACTTRTATCCCGTCCACAAGATCTCTACACCACCCGTTGCACTTCTCACTTCCTCTCCGGACACGTGGCATCAACGTCTCGGTCATCCCGGACCGGAAGTTTTGCGTCTTTTAAATTCTAGTGGTTTTATAAATTGTAATCATGTCAAGTTAACTATGTGCCATGCATGTCAACTTGGCAAGAATTCCTGTCTTCCGTTTTCCAATTCAAAAACTATTGTTAATTCCATGTTTGATTTAGTGCATTCGGACTTSTGGACATCTCCTATTCCAAGTGTATCTGGTTTTAAATACTATATCTTGTTTCTAGACCACTATACGCATTATCTTTGGGTTTATCCTTTACAACGAAAAAGCGACGCAATTTCAAAAATAATACAATTTCGTGTAATGGTAAAAACCCAATTTAACAAGACCATCAAAGCCTTCCAATGTGATCATGGAGGTGAATTTGACAACTCCGTTGTTCACACTCTCTTCCAATCACACGGCATCCAACTTCGTTTCTCGTGTCCGAAAACTTCCCAACAAAATGGTAAATCCGAAAGAATGATTCGAWCAATAAATAACTTTGTTCGAACTCTCTTATTTCAAGCCCACCTCCCCCCCACCTATTGGGTTGAAGCATTAATGATGGCCACACACCTAATCAACCTCCTACCCACAAAAGCAACAAASAATCAAATACCTCACAAACTTCTCTACCAAACCAACCCAAACTACACAAACCTTCGAGTTTTCGGATGTCTTTGCTATCCACACCTCTTTCCGCAACATAAACTCGCTCCTAGAGCAACTCCGTGCGTTTTCTTAGGATATCAAGAAAATCATCGYGGGTATCGGTGCCTCCATCTTGAAAGCAACAAAATCATCKTTTCCCGWCACGTCAATTTTGACGAAACGTCCTTCCCGTTTGCTTCAATGACACCATCTCACTCMCCCTCGTATGAATTTCTAAATCAAGACAATGAACCAAATCCAATTGCCATTAAACTCTTAACCAACCCAAATAAATCCTCACCCTCTCCTCTCGACACTGCTGTTCCCAACCAGCCTCCTACTGCTCCATCTACACAGCAGCATTYTGCTGCTCACTCTTCACAGCAGCCTTCTGCTGTCACATCTGCTCCACCACCACCGCTGTCCAGACCCACTTCTTCCACACATCCCATGACCACTCGATCGAAGCAGGGCATTGCCAAACCCTCCACCAAGTATAACCTACACATCGACACCAATTCCGAACTTCCTACATCTCACATCCAAGCCTCACATGACCCAAATTGGCAACACGCCATGCTTGATGAGTACAATGCTTTAATTAAAAATGGAACTTGGTTACTTGTACCTCGTCCTGCAGGTGTAAATGTGGTCCGTTCGATGTGGCTCTTTCGGAAGAAGTATCATGCAGATGGAACTCTTAGTCGTTACAAAGCTCGTCTCGTGGCTAACGGAAAGAGTCAACGGCAAGGTGTTGATTGTGCCGAGACTTTCAGCCCGGTGGTCAAACCGGCCTCCATTCGCACTGTTCTTAGTCTCTCCGTTTCACGAAATTGGCCTATCCATCAACTCGACGTCAAAAATGCTTTTCTACACGGCCATCTTGACGAAGAGGTTTACATGCATCAACCACCGGGATTTAAGGATCCCAACTATCCAAATTATGTGTGTCGTCTTCAAAAGTCTCTATACGGGCTAAAACAAGCTCCGAGGGCGTGGTTTCAACGG